CTCGATGGACTAGAATGAATGGCTATCGCCAACCAATAGCTTATAATTTTGATTATCTCCCTTTTACAACACTGTAACTAGTCAAACCCCTTTATCGCTCTGTTATCGTTCAATAACGGGCACATTAGCTCAGTTTATCAGACCCAGCGCTGCTGTACTGCTCGATAGCAACACCAGCTGACCTGCCTGCAATGGCAAATGTCCAAGTCTGTGGGAGACTTTAAAAGACCTGTTGATCGACATGTCAACGTCAGGATACCTATTGCTGAATTACACCTTGTTATGATCAACTATCATACAATAGGTGCGCATAAGATACATTTCATTCTATGAAGTGTAAGATCAGACAATATCCAACCTTGAGGGGACGCTTTCAAAGGTTGGAGGGAGAGCCGAAGCGCCTGGATCCGAAGATCTAGCACTATGCGTCGATACGCAGCTCGTTTGGAGGGAGAAAGATCTGCGATTTATTTATATATATCAGCGATCTCAATCCGCCAAAACGCCCACAGGACCGTTTAAAATAAATCCGTTATTATATACGCCGACTTGCGCGCAAGCCAAACAAACGTTCATATCATTCGCCAAAACCCACACAAAATTCATCTGTGGTGACAGAAAATTCATTTTCAACACGAAACTCAACAACAACAGTTCCAACCCGCATATCCGATTCAACCATGACCAAACCAGCAATCCTGCGCCAACTCTTTGTCCGAATCGGCCTGACTCAAGCCGTTGCCGACACTATTGTGGACAATCACAATATCAACAGTACCGCAACTCTGACCAAGATCAAGCCTGACACTGTCAGCAAACTTGTCAAGACCCTTCGACACCCAGGAGGCGGTGGGAATGGCCACGCGATCCCGTTCCAAGTGCAGCAAGACATCACTGATGTCGCATGGCTCCTAAAACACCGTGACCGCACCTCTTGCGATCCAGCTATTCCGACCATTGGCCTCCCTGTCCTAACTGACGAACTTGAGATCTACAGAGATCATGAAGCGCAATGGACCGAACCAAGCTCCCTTGATATCGAAATCACCCGCAAGGACTGGAACAAAACGTTCCGTACCATTGAAGAATCCCTTACAAACTTCAAAGGAGTCCACGGTTGCCCTTTGAGCTATACTATTTGTGTCGCGACTGCCATCCCAGCTGATCCGTGACAGAAATAAATGAAGATAGATGAATAGATGTAAAGCCTATAGTGCGAATGCTATTCTACGAGATGATAGAGATCAATTCAGGTAAAACAACGTGCAGTGAGAAAAGCGATCGTTCATCACTTTTCCACACAAATCTCTAGAATTATCGCAGAACGCTGATGACTCAGCATTCTCCTTGCTAAATCAATGGTGTGTAGCGGTTCATGCACGTGCAACGCGTGCGAGGCACAGGCTACACTTCAACCTGGTAATCCTATAGGTCGAGTCACGAGTCCCGTTCCTATTAGAATTCTGTCACTCCCCAAATGGGGCAAAGTGAGAGGACCTATTCCTCTTGATCAGCAGTATCACCAGACCAGAACATTAGAGTTCGTAATAGTGGCCAGATTTGCTGATGGCCCCAATGCTTGCTGAGAATATCAGCGGGGTTGAGAACACCGTCAATGTAGATAAATGATAGCATGTTAGATGCTACTGCTTCTCTCACACGGTGGAACGACAATGCAACATGCCTCTTGTGTAGCTTTGCTTCACGTCGGGAAGAACTGTTCACAACACATTCATTGTCACCGAATATGTAGCTTTGACCTTTGATTGGCACACCAAGGTACCTCAAGGTCTGTTGAAGATCCATGATCTGTTTGACACAGGTTTGAGTGGCTACAAACTCAGAACCATAAGTAGCAGTCTCAACAGTTGACTGCTCCCTAGAGAAGAAATCGATTGGTGTTCCATTCAACATATGATGGATTATACCCACAACCGATTGGTCTGTCAATAGACAGCTGGGTTTTGTTTTGCTTGGCAGTACGTAGGTAAGGTCACCGAACGGTATGAGCCTGGGTATTTGTCACAATGTTTAAGGGCATTGACAAGTTGGACTCTGAACTTTTGGTGATCTTTTGGCATTGGGGTTCCTCTCCCCATATCCACAAGGACCTCGTACGTTGCAAGCAGATCCATCTCAACTTTGGTGGCATGCTTCCAGTTGGTGTTGCCATGGAGTTTGTCAAGTGGAAGGACACCATTGTGGTCCTTCTGGATCTTGTAGTTGTACATATACTTTAGTGTAGTAGTATGTAGCAATCTCAGCTTGACTTGATTGGTTGGACAAAGGAATTTCCTCTTGTCCTTCACTATATTTTGAAGAAGTCTACAACCTTGATTTTCTGGTAGGTTATGATTTCCTTTAGTATATAGCGTAGGTCACTGATTCATTGGCTCCAGTGATGTTCAGTGGTTCTGGGGTATTCTCCCCATGTTTCCATCCAATGGTCATACTGTAAGTCAGACCCAGGTAATAAGAAGGCTGTTCAAGTCGAATGTAGTGATGGTGGTATACAACTTGCTTCAGCTTCGTATCTATGGGGTTGTCCTTGTCAGTTTCTGACCACTTGTGGATCTCATGATAAGCCATAACATGTTCATATTTGCCTTTATCAATGTTCAAGCATAGTTCAATGCGTGCAGGCTGAATGTCTGTGTTGCGATTGTGCTTGTAATTAAGCTCAACAATCTTAGCACATTGAACATAACCTTCATCATCTGGTGAAAGAAGGAAAGTCCGTCCAATGAGGTCCTTTTCTTCTAAAAGAACGTCTTCTATATCTGATTCAACATCACTAGAATGAACAATGGTCTTGAGGGACTTATGGTCAATAGATTTGATTTTTGTAGGGGGTATCAACTCCTCCCCATCAGATAGATCAATTGACTTGGTTATTGTAGGGAGCGCTAACTCCTCCCCATCAGGTAGAACAAGACGTTTGTGTAGTCTGGTAGGTGGTAGAGCAGAGCAGATGTCAGAAGGCAACAAGACGTTGTTTGTTTCAAGAAACAGAAATATGTTGGTCATGTTGTGACAATCATGCTTGACGATGCCTACCAAGACGACCATGCAACTGATCGGCTCTGGAAGTGGAGACAGAGGATGATATTTGTGTTCATGGTGGGCGTTCGTGGGAGGTCTAGCTAGATCAGTAGTAGTACAGTGAAAAGAATGCTTAGGTAACCACGCAAAATATTGACGTAGTCGCTCCCAGTTGCGTTCACGAGACTTCACTGCTGAGCTTGGGTTCTTATACTCCGTAGTAGTTGGTGGCAGAGGTTCATGTGCTTGCTTGGTTCGTGGGGGAGGGCCATTATCAGTTCTCTCCCCATTGCGATTACCATTACTATAACGAGTCTTCCGTCTTGGATTGCGCCTTGGTGTAGGAGGTACTTTAAGAGTAAGTATATCCTTTGGAAAACCAGGTGCAAGATCTTGAAAATCATCTTTGGCAAGCAATGGCCCCGTTTCAATGTCAAAATCAATAGGAGCTTCAGGAGCAAATAGAACACTCGGTCGCCTATGTGACTGATTGACTTCGAATGCTGCCGGGATTGGAGGGTTGTCAAAGTAAGAATCTGGACAGAATAAGTCGGCCATATTACAGCCAAACCAATCCATATCAGTATCTTGACGTTCGTAAACCTCGTATAGTCCGTCAGTTGGTGCAACGTATAAAATTCAGTTTCAAAAATCAAAAAACAAAAATCACGCATTTTGCAAAAACAAAAAGTCATCTTCTCTAGTACTTTATCTACGCAATGACCGTGTAGCGACACCGGTTTTGCTGTTAAAAGTGCTTGATTGAGGACTTCAACCATGGGCTCTGATGATGATCAATCAGATGAGATGGCTCTGAACTTGACAAAGGCTGCAACTGATCAAGGTCAGGGAGGCCTGGAGGAAAAAACCCGTTCAAATTCGACCACCCAACTGACGGTTGACTTGGTAAAGGATGATCCAAGCGATGACCCCATGGAACTGTTTGAAACCGTTTGGCATGCTTTGATACCTCCCAAGAGCGGACACAAGCAACCCCCTCCTTCCAAAATCGCCGAGGATGGCGCACTGAAAGGACAGCCGCTTGTTGCCTCTCCCAAGAAACTCAATCCAAGCAATGACCCCATGGAATTTGTTGAAATTGTTTGGCATGCTTTGACAACGGCGTTTCCACCAACCATTGATCATTCTTTGGACAGATTCTCAATTGGATGGTCCACAAAACAAGGTCGGACCCAGAACAAAATTTTCAACTATTTACACACAACAACAATCCTATTTTATGATGTCTGCGCTGCCCATCAGAAGTGGCCAACAACCATGGGCTCGAATGAAGCAAAATCACAAGAGACGGCTTTGAAATCGACAAGGACTGCACCTGAGCACGCTCAGGAAGGTCTGGAGGCAACAACCCGCTCGAATTCTACCACCCTATTGACGGTTGACCTCGTGAAGGACAACCCCAATGCTTGCATTTCCTCCATGTTGTACAGCTTATTTGTCTTGTTTCTTTCTCTGGAAAAGATACAGCAGACCGATTTTCTTGGTCTACCTTTCCAAATCCCCACCAACAGAGTGGGAGCGCCAATCTGCCCATGGGAAAGAAAGGCCGTAGTGGCCGAGTCGAGAAGGTCGGGCAGAGAGTAGCGGCATTCCAATAGGGCAATGGAATTAGATTCAGCCTCAGCGCCGGTGAATGCTGTATACAAGGGTTCCCCCATAGGTGGAGTCGTATATGGAGCACACGTCTGGTCGTACCGTGCCGCATTCTCTTGCATACAACCTTCTTCAACCAGAGCACGATCAGTGATAGTACGCAGCCGCGTAGTGCCATCTGATAACTTTTCTTCAATCTGACTAGCCCGTAAACCCCCGGTAGATCCCTTTTGTTGGGTGCGACGACGGCGTCTTGCCTCCTCTCATTGCTTCAATCGTCGTAACCGAAGGAATCTATTGTGGGCCTTCTGGGACTTCCATTTCTTCTTCTTTGCATCCTTTGTCTGAGCTGTAAAAAAGTCCCGTCTCAATTGGGTTGCCTGATGTTTGGCTTGCTTATAAGCCCGGCGTTCAGCTGACAAGGCTTCGTCCAATTCATCAGTTGTCTTCTTCCACGCGTCGCGCAGCCTTGTCTTCTTCATCAGGCGCCGGACCTTTCGTGAGCTCACACGGCATCGCTTGCGGCCTTTAAGGAGTAGCTTCCAGAGACTCAATCGATCCCAGAAGCCCTGCAATTTTGGAGACCAAGGAACCTTGCCAGATGAGGTAGTGCGACAATTGCCTTCAGCAAGCCGCCGTACCATATACATCTGCCGGTGAAGGCAGTTATATTTGCGTGCCAGCGGGAGTGACATCTGTCGCTCTTTGGATTCAATGCGCTGATTTAGCTTGGTAAGACGGGAAGGGATGTCATACTCCTCGTAACCCAAGTGGACCAGTTGAAGATAGCGTCTAACCAACCGCTTATCCAAAAGGGTTAGTTTGCAAGGTTGGAAGGTAGAGACTCCTGGGGTTTGAAATTGCCCAAAGCTGTGTTCAAGTCAATATCGATCCATAGAGCCCAGTGGTCTGCTTCAACGAATTTGCCAAATGCGTAGTAGCCACCAGCAAGAACCGGAACACCCGAAGTGGTAAAGATCCCATCAATGGGAACGTTGCTTTGATTTTGTTGGTGAGTTGCCGTTGGGGGATGCCTTTTCAAAATCGCTTCCTCCATTCCGCACTCACGGAACTGCTGTCGTATGGAGTCCGGGGAGTTAACCGAAAGGTCTTCGTTAGCATCGATCCCCAGCAAAACTTCGCAACCCTAGTCCCTCCACTTTTGAATTTGTTTGCACAAGTCATCGACAAATGCTTTGCGCGGATCAACCTTACGTTTTATAGAGTTAAAGTAGAGACGTTGTTGGGCCCACACGGTTGATTCCCCCGTACCTTCTCTGTTTGGCCTATATGCCAAGACAACCACTAGATCACGTGAAATCGGCCGTCGGACCGCCTCATTTACGTCTAGCACCAAGCCGGAGAGATCATCACCCCCCTGCGCCTTCAACTTTTTTCCTTGAAGACGAACATAAGCCCACCGTCCCAGCCCCGTCGAATCGCTCCCTGCTTCTTTGGCTCGGTGCAAGACCTGACTAAGCACTGTCGCAATGCATCCTCCCCATTGAAAGGCTGTAGTTGCCAAAGATCGTGACTGCTGTTTATTATACGCGACAGCCGAATAAAAACCTTTGTGCTTTGCCTTCATCGTAGCTTGACCCATCCTATTGTTCCAAAACGTTTTGGCCTCCGCCAACAACGCTATTCCCACTCGCTCATCTTGCAGCCAGGAGTTGATCTGCCGCTGTTTCACATGGTCACCTTCCTCCGGGACACCGTTAACGTTCTGGAAGGTGACACGAGTAGCTAGTGAAGAGCGACAGCGATGGTCGTCGCCAAGGCAGTTTCCTGGTGGAAGAGAACGTAAATATTCGTCAAGTGAAGCGTGGGATTCACCAAATGCGTAGTAGCCACCAGCCAGAACCGGAACACCTGAAGTGGTAAAGATTCCGTCAATGGGAACGTTGCTTTGATTTCGTTGGTGGGTCGCCGTGGGGGGATGCCGTTTCAAAATTGCTTCCTCCGTTCCGCACTCACGAAACCGCTGTCGTATGGAGTCCGGGGAGTTGACCAAAAGGTCTTCATTAGCATCGATCCCCAGCAAAACTTCACAACCCTCGTCCCTCCATTTTTGAATTTGCTTGCACAGGTCATCGACCAATGCTTTGCGCGGATCAATCTTACGTTTTATAGAGTTAAAGTATAGACGTTGTTGGGCCCACACGGTTGATTCCCCCGTACCTTCTCTGTTTGGCCTATATGCCGAGACAATCACTAGATCACGTGAAATCGGCCGTCGGACCGCCTCATTTACGTCTAGCACCAAGCCGGAGTGATCATCACCCCCCTGCGCCTTCAGCTTTTTTCCTTGAAGACGAACAAAAGCCCACCGTCCCAGCCCCGTCGAATCGCTCCCTGATTCTTTAGCTCGGTGCGAGACCTGACTAAGTACTGTTGCGATGCATCCTCCCCATTGAAAGGCTGTAGTTGCTGAAGATCGTGACTGCTGTTTATTATAAGCGACAGCCGAATAAAAACCTTTGCGCTTTGCCTTCATCGTAGCTTGACGCATCCTGTCGTTCCACCCATGACCCTCTGGGATAGAGGGCCAAAACGTTTTGGCCTCCGCCAACAACGCTATTCCCACTTGCTCGTCTTGCAGCCAGGAGTTGATCTCCCGCTGTTTCACATGGTCCCCTTCCTCCGGAACACCGTTAACGTTCTGGAAGGTGACGCGAGTAGCTAGTGAAGAGCGACAGCGATGGTCGTCGCCAAGGCAGTCTCCTGGTGGCAGAGAGCGTAAATATTCGTCAAGTGAAGCGTGGGAAACAACACTTGACGGGCCACTAATTCGAGATCTTCTGCCTGCACGCCGTGACCTAGCGGCAGACAACCTGGGGCCTCTCATGGCCCTACCGCGGAGCGAGGTGCTCCGCGGCCGACCAAAGAAGGCAAATTAGCAGATCTGCTAGTACCGGATTTGCTAGATGGAGAAGGAAGAAAGAATGGATGTACGCCTCCCAGACATGCCGCTGTCAGAGATGAGAGGCTCTCGTCCTGGGACACGGCTGTAGTAGTATTGCCCTCCATCTGAGTTGTGTCCACGTGAACCTGAGACTTTTTCCGAGACCGCTGCTTGGGCTGCTGAAAGTGAACAGACGGGCTGGTGCGAGTTGACGTAGTGGGCGGCTTAAGACCAGCCGTAGACCTGTCAACGCTCCTCTTAACCGTGGTGTTTAAAGGATGTGCATTGACAACAAGAATAATCATAAAACCTTGATGCCTTAAAAATTAATTGTGTTGATGTGAAAACATCCAAGCAAACTATCGCTCAACCTACGCATAACGCGCATGTACAAATCGCTAGTGTTGTTGGCTTCAGTCAGCGAGCCAACCAGTCTCAGGTATGTCTGCCTGGCCTTAAAACACTCCTCTCAAGCTGGAAACGCGCTAAAGCGTAACAGATTGCAAATGGGGCAAGGACTTTGTTTCAAAGGTTGGACAAACAGTTCACAAACAAGGATTTCAACAAAACAGGGTACGTGGTTTGGTCAGGGCTGGAGACCTACATCCACCAGTACATGGATATATCGAATCATCGATCAATATCATAGACATATCGAATCACACATCGATAAATATCAAAACATAGAAATATTGAATCACCGATCAATATCATAGATATATCAAATCACACATTGATCAATATCATATATATATCGGATCAATCATCAATCTTTTTTGATAGCATAGAAATATTGAATCACCGATCAATATCATAGATATATATCAAATCACACATTGATCAATATCATATACATATCGAATCACACATCGATCCTTTTCATAGATACGTATCAAATCACACATTGATACATACCAAGCACATCAATACATTGACATACAATCATTTACCGCCCATGGACTTGGTGAAGCAGGCTCATTCTTCGCCATAGAGCAGTCATTAGTCAAATCAACGTCACTTTCATGAGTGTTGACCTTTGACCTTCGCCGTTCATGTTTTGTAGCTCCGTTACGGATGAAGTAATGGGCAATGGACTGAAATATGGGGATTGTAGGTCGGACCGATGTATGTCGGTCAGTATCACTCAGAACAGAACCACTGGATCCAAGCACATTTACATTGGCGTGGGAGTCAAGTTCAGTCCTAGAATCAACCGGATGCTCAGCAGTAGTGCCATCAATTTGAGGTCAGCCGCAGGTGTGGCAAAGAGTGGTGGGGACGTATTCATAGAAATTGCCGTCCATCATCTTCCAGCCAGGGTTGGTCTGGTGGCTCAAGAATCCAATGCATCGCTTGTAATTTTCAATACATTACTGATACAACAGTGGGTTCCGCCGTGACCAGTCAAGCCTTGCTCTTATCGAGAAAAAAAGCACTGGCTTCAGTAGATTTTCTTCAGCCTTTTGTCTTGGTCGACTTCTTGGAAAATTCAACCGTCTTCGGCTCATTTGGGCTCATTTCAGCAAATCAAAGCGTCTTGTTGTTTCAGGCATTGATTTCCAGAGGAAAATGCGTTATAAAGAGCATTAGTCGTAGGTGTAGTAGCATCATAACAGAATCGTAGAGTGATGGGAGCTGATAAACTGTTTAAAGGATGTGCATTGACCTCAAAGAATAATCGTAAAACCTTGATGCCTTAAAATTAATTGTGTTGATGTGAAAACATCCAAGCAAACTATCGCTCAACGTACGCATAACGCGCACGTACAAATCGCTAGTGTTGTCGGCTTCAGTCAGCGAGCCAACCAGTCTCAGGTATGTCTGCCTGGCCTTAAAACACTCCTCTCAAGCTGGAAACGCGCTAAAGCGTAACAGATTGCAAATGGGGCAAGGACTTTGTTTCAAAGGTTGGACAAACAGTTCACAAACAAGGATTTCAACAAAACAGGGTACGTGGTTTGGTCAGGGCTGGAGACCTACATCCACCAGTACATGGATATATCGAATCATCGATCAATATCATAGACATATCGAATCACACATCGATAAATATCAAAACATAGAAATATTGAATCACCGATCAATATCATAGATATATCAAATCACACATTGATCAATATCATATATATATCGGATCAATCATCAATCTTTTTTGATAGCATAGAAATATTGAATCACCGATCAATATCATAGATATATATCAAATCACACATTGATCAATATCATATACATATCGAATCACACATCGATCCTTTTCATAGATACGTATCAAATCACACATTGATACATACCAAGCACATCAATACATTGACATACAATCATTTACCGCCCATGGACTTGGTGAAGCAGGCTCATTCTTCGCCATAGAGCAGTCATTAGTCAAATCAACGTCACTTTCATGAGTGTTGACCTTTGACCTTCGCCGTTCATGTTTTGTAGCTCCGTTACGGATGAAGTAATGGGCAATGGACTGAAATATGGGGATTGTAGGTCGGACCGATGTATGTCGGTCAGTATCACTCAGAACAGAACCACTGGATCCAAGCACATTTACATTGGCGTGGGAGTCAAGTTCAGTCCTAGAATCAACCGGATGCTCAGCAGTAGTGCCATCAATTTGAGGTCAGCCGCAGGTGTGGCAAAGAGTGGTGGGGACGTATTCATAGAAATTGCCGTCCATCATCTTCCAGCCAGGGTTGGTCTGGTGGCTCAAGAATCCAATGCATCGCTTGTAATTTTCAATACATTACTGATACAACAGTGGGTTCCGCCGTGACCAGTCAAGCCTTGCTCTTATCGAGAAAAAAAGCACTGGCTTCAGTAGATTTTCTTCAGCCTTTTGTCTTGGTCGACTTCTTGGAAAATTCAACCGTCTTCGGCTCATTTGGGCTCATTTCAGCAAATCAAAGCGTCTTGTTGTTTCAGGCATTGATTTCCAGAGGAAAATGCGTTATAAAGAGCATTAGTCGTAGGTGTAGTAGCATCATAACAGAATCGTAGAGTGATGGGAGCTGATAAACTGTTTAAAGGATGTGCATTGACCTCAAAGAATAATCGTAAAACCTTGATGCCTTAAAATTAATTGTGTTGATGTGAAAACATCCAAGCAAACTATCGCTCAACGTACGCATAACGCGCACGTACAAATCGCTAGTGTTGTCGGCTTCAGTCAGCGAGCCAACCAGTCTCAGGTATGTCTGCCTGGCCTTAAAACACTCCTCTCAAGCTGGAAACGCGCTAAAGCGTAACAGATTGCAAATGGGGCAAGGACTTTGTTTCAAAGGTTGGACAAACAGTTCACAAACAAGGATTTCAACAAAACAGGGTACGTGGTTTGGTCAGGGCTGGAGACCTACATCCACCAGTACATGGATATATCGAATCATCGATCAATATCATAGACATATCGAATCACACATCGATAAATATCAAAACATAGAAATATTGAATCACCGATCAATATCATAGATATATCAAATCACACATTGATCAATATCATATATATATCGGATCAATCATCAATCTTTTTTGATAGCATAGAAATATTGAATCACCGATCAATATCATAGATATATATCAAATCACACATTGATCAATATCATATACATATCGAATCACACATCGATCCTTTTCATAGATACGTATCAAATCACACATTGATACATACCAAGCACATCAATACATTGACATACAATCATTTACCGCCCATGGACTTGGTGAAGCAGGCTCATTCTTCGCCATAGAGCAGTCATTAGTCAAATCAACGTCACTTTCATGAGTGTTGACCTTTGACCTTCGCCGTTCATGTTTTGTAGCTCCGTTACGGATGAAGTAATGGGCAATGGACTGAAATATGGGGATTGTAGGTCGGACCGATGTATGTCGGTCAGTATCACTCAGAACAGAACCACTGGATCCAAGCACATTTACATTGGCGTGGGAGTCAAGTTCAGTCCTAGAATCAACCGGATGCTCAGCAGTAGTGCCATCAATTTGAGGTCAGCCGCAGGTGTGGCAAAGAGTGGTGGGGACGTATTCATAGAAATTGCCGTCCATCATCTTCCAGCCAGGGTTGGTCTGGTGGCTCAAGAATCCAATGCATCGCTTGTAATTTTCAATACATTACTGATACAACAGTGGGTTCCGCCGTGACCAGTCAAGCCTTGCTCTTATCGAGAAAAAAAGCACTGGCTTCAGTAGATTTTCTTCAGCCTTTTGTCTTGGTCGACTTCTTGGAAAATTCAACCGTCTTCGGCTCATTTGGGCTCATTTCAGCAAATCAAAGCGTCTTGTTGTTTCAGGCATTGATTTCCAGAGGAAAATGCGTTATAAAGAGCATTAGTCGTAGGTGTAGTAGCATCATAACAGAATCGTAGAGTGATGGGAGCTGATAAACTGTTTAAAGGATGTGCATTGACCTCAAAGAATAATCGTAAAACCTTGATGCCTTAAAATTAATTGTGTTGATGTGAAAACATCCAAGCAAACTATCGCTCAACGTACGCATAACGCGCACGTACAAATCGCTAGTGTTGTCGGCTTCAGTCAGCGAGCCAACCAGTCTCAGGTATGTCTGCCTGGCCTTAAAACACTCCTCTCAAGCTGGAAACGCGCTAAAGCGTAACAGATTGCAAATGGGGCAAGGACTTTGTTTCAAAGGTTGGACAAACAGTTCACAAACAAGGATTTCAACGAAACAGGGTACGTGGTTCGGTCAGGGCTGGAGACCTACATCCACCAGTACATGGATATATTGAATCATCGATCAATATCATAGACATCATATCGAATCACACATCGATAAATATCATAGATACATTGAACCACCTATCGATCAATATCAAAACATAGAAATATTGAATCACCGATCAATATCAAAGATATATCAATCAAAACATAGAAATATTGAATCACCGATCAATATCATAGATATATCAAATCAC